TTTACGTTAATCTGAAAAAAACCAGGTTTTCATTAAAGTATTAACATTAAAATTCGCATCACAGTCAGCATTGTGTTTATCTAATTGGTTTCACATATTATTATCTTTGAAACGTTACTGTTTCCAAACATAACACTTTTTTTGAACAATTAAACATTTATTTAGGCTTCGTTTCTAAAAGCCTAAATAAAACTTGCTATAACATTTTGTCACGGCTCAATTAGGAAACGTTTAAGTGGGAGTAGGGTGTAGATATGAGAACCATTCAAAATAAAACGTCCCAGACCAGATATTTCAAAAACGGATAAACTAATCTAATGAAACTTTCGGGAAGGTATAATCAAAATACAAGGAAGAAATTAAATTTTGGTGACGATCCGGGTTTGAGTGTAATTTTAAGGGTCATGTAACATTTTAATGTCCGAGACCTAAATATCTCAAAAAAACTTATCATTGGATCTAAACAAAACTGTGTATAATAGCTTGTCAAGATCCAATGAAGAAATTATTAAATTTTGGAGATCATCCAGAATAGGCCTTGGAAAGGAAACCGTCCCAGATCCAGATATTTCAAAAACTATTTAACTAATCTGAATTACATTTTTGGGACAGTTTAACTTAAGCTACATGGAAAAAAAATATAAAATTCATAATTGATATAAATTATAAATTAAACGATCGGGATTCGGGTGTAACTTTGAGGGTCATTGAAAAGGTTTAATTTTCATACCTAAATTTCTCAAAAGAGTTATTAATAGATCTAAATAAACATTTTTAAATGAGTTTGTTTTTTTAGTAATTTCAACATCACTTCTCATTATGGCAATGAGGAAAAGACCTATGATCAGTTTTACAAACAGATAAAGTAAGTTATTATCATTATTATTTTATTATTATTAATATATTCTATCATTATTTTGTATTATTAAAAATACTTTTGTTATCGTTATTATTATATTTATTATTTCCTCTGCTTCAAAAGAGAAACAATTAAAAAAAAGTTAGTTATTAGTTAAAAGTTGTTAATTATTATTATGATCATTATTATTATTGATGTGTTAAATCATAGTTGTATATATATATATATATATATATATATATATATATATACAACTATGATTTAACACATCAATAATAATAATGATCATAATAATAATTAACAACTTTTAACTAATAACTAACTTTTTTTTAATTGTTTCTCTTTTGAAGCAGAGGAAATAATAAATATAATAATAACGATAACAAAAGTATTTTTAATAATACAAAATAATGATAGAATATATTAATAATAATAAAATAATAATGATAATAACTTACTTTATCTGTTTGTAAAACTGATCATAGGTCTTTTCCTCATTGCCATAATGAGAAGTGATGTTGAAATTACTAAAAAAACAAACTCATTTAAAAATGTTTATTTAGATCTATTAATAACTCTTTTGAGAAATTTAGGTATGAAAATTAAACCTTTTCAATGACCCTCAAAGTTACACCCGAATCCCGATCGTTTAATTTATAATTTATATCAATTATGAATTTTATATTTTTTTTCCATGTAGCTTAAGTTAAACTGTCCCAAAAATGTAATTCAGATTAGTTAAATAGTTTTTGAAATATCTGGATCTGGGACGGTTTCCTTTCCAAGGCCTATTCTGGATGATCTCCAAAATTTAATAATTTCTTCATTGGATCTTGACAAGCTATTATACACAGTTTTGTTTAGATCCAATGATAAGTTTTTTTGAGATATTTAGGTCTCGGACATTAAAATGTTACATGACCCTTAAAATTACACTCAAACCCGGATCGTCACCAAAATTTAATTTCTTCCTTGTATTTTGATTATACCTTCCCGAAAGTTTCATTAGATTAGTTTATCCGTTTTTGAAATATCTGGTCTGGGACGTTTTATTTTGAATGGTTCTCATATCTACACCCTACTCCCACTTAAACGTTTCCTAATTGAGCCGTGACAAAATGTTATAGCAAGTTTTATTTAGGCTTTTAGAAACGAAGCCTAAATAAATGTTTAATTGTTCAAAAAAAGTGTTATGTTTGGAAACAGTAACGTTTCAAAGATAATAATATGTGAAACCAATTAGATAAACACAATGCTGACTGTGATGCGAATTTTAATGTTAATACTTTAATGAAAACCTGGTTTTTTTCAGATTAACGTAAAGTTAAAATAATTGTGCGAAACTGGTTTAAAAAAATATTCTCAATTGAAAACGTTGAAGCAATAAAACCTTTTATTGAACGAGGACGACCGCTCCAAGATCCAATAAAGACCAAAGAAATCCGATTTTTTTTTTTTTTTAATAAATATGGACGTGCTTCTGTCCGAAAGCCATACTAGAAGAATTATTTGAATATACGAGTGATGTTTTTTATAAACGAATTGTTAACATTCTTAACACGTGTGTTGAGGAAAACAATTTTTGAATTGTGTTGGTGAGGGTATTTTCGTGCCATTACAAAAAACCTCATAAGCTAAAAGACCAGTAATGGCCATTATCGCTAAGTAATTGTATACAGAAAAATTGTCACTCGTCTTTTTGAAAAATGATTAATATACTGGACCATGGCAAAGTGCAAACACAAGGTCGTAGATGTAATATAGTTTTGTCACAACGAATTTTAAAACTAGTCGTTCCTCGAAAGCACTTTGAATTCTTCGAAATGGGATTGAATATGACGTCAGTTTTCGACACAATAAAACGAGAGACGATTGGCTTTACTTGAAGATGCTGGTTGTTTTCAAATGACAGAGTTACGACTACCCAGATTTCCTTGCCGTACACAAACATTATGGATTAGAAAAATGGAAAAAATATCTTGAGAATAAGTGTTATTGTTGCGCTTAAAAAGGATTTTCTCAAACATTTACGTGCAGTATTAAGTACGAGACCAACTCCATCTATCGCAACAATAGTATGCTTCTTGAAAGTGAATACGTTGATGACATAGATTTGTTTTCTGAGAGTAAAAGTTTCCTTTTAGGTGAGGTAGGGTATCGTCTTATTATGTGCATTGTTTTGCCATTTTGTTTGTACCCATCATTGACACCGATTCTGTTGTATTATGTTCTCTATATTTTCTTGTTTCATCCATTTTCCTATCAGTACCTGATAATGACGTATAGTCGAAAGTTCTAGAACAATAAATATTTTTTTTGAGAGACATACAGAACTTTGTTTGAATTCTTATTTTATATACAATGCAGCAATTGTGACTTACTTGGATATTTGCTACAGTATTTCCGCTCAATCTTTGGTTTTTACTGGTCACTATGCCTGATCCTAAACTAGCACTTCAGATAGTTCATTGTCGATTAAATGAGCATCTTCTGGAATAGCTGGTATGTGGTAAGTGTTTTGGTTTTGCGTTTAGTTCATCTACGTTTAGTAAGTCCCGCTGTTTCAGTAATCTAGTCAATTCGGAAGCCAAGAAATTATGAATAGCTTTTGCTAGAAAACAGAAGAAACTGGATTTTCTTAGAAAGGATCGCTGTGGATTATACAGCAAATACTCAGAAAACATTGGCACATCAAAACTTCCTGTTACCTTAACGGAAAATTAACTTCTAACGGATGATAAAAAAATCAGCTTTATCCAAAGGCCTATCATTCATACCTCAACATAAATGTATTGATGAATTAGATGTTAAATCGAATCTAGAACATTTATAGACGTCGAATACATACTTAAAGCTGAATTTCATGGCAAGGATTCAACAACGATGACTTCCAACTGTATCGTAAACAATTTAATCGGACTCCTGCTCCTGGTAATTTGAGCTTTTTGAACTTTGTATTATTAAGAAATGAAGATGTGATATTTTTTATATTATTATTATTTTTTATTATTATTATTATTATTATTATTACTATTATTAACTTTTTATTATTGGTCCATCTATAGAATAGGACTTTTGTATTATTAGGAAATGAAGATGTGGTATTTTTTATATTATTATTTTTTTATTATTACTATTATTAACTTTTTATTATTGGTGCATCTATAGAATATTTTGTTCATATTTTATTATTTTTCATAATTATTATTTTTTTTTGTATAAATTGGGATACTAAATTGTGAGATATACGACTGAAAAGTATTTAAGAGAAATAAAATCTGCATCAAACTTCTCTAATCAGTACTGCATCATAGGCCTCAGGTGGCAAGCCCATCAGTTGAGCTTGCACGCCGTCCGGACTGCCGGAATTTTGCAAACGATTCGAGAGAACGATCCGCTTGAGTTGGTTGTGTTAGATGGATGTGTTTAGAAAATATATATAAATAACGTTCTAAAACCTACATGAAACAATTATTGCCAATGTGTAAAATTTAGTTATGGGCCCGGAAGGACAAACACACAGACAGACAGACACGCACACACACACCCACACAGAAAGAAGCGCGTTATTGCAATACCCTCGACTCCTCCTTTGAAGGCGAGGGTACGAGGGTAGTAAGACCTTTAAAAAAAATAAAATGTTTGTTTGCCGTCACCCGCCGCCCCTAAACCCCGAAAATTATGGGCGAATTTGTTTTTTTCTTTTAGCTTAAAAGGTCAAATGAAAAACCAATTTTTTGTCACTTTTGGCACAGATTCGTGTTACATGGAATTTAACGACTTATATCCACCCGTCCCTGTATTCAAATATTTATAATGTAAAAACAAACAAGTTTTATTTTTTTAAGGTCTAATCAATCGATCAATCACTGGATTTATAAGGCGCATACTACAACTGTCTCTATGCACCAATTAGGTTACAACAAGATTATGATTGAAGTGAAGCAAGAAAAGTCGGTACGAGACCAAGTGCCATCAGGATAGAGTCAGTGTGCCTTTCTTACGCACCTTGAAAGCCAGCCGACCGACCCCGTGGAAACATAATTCACAGGATCACCGTACCGACCAATTCCCTGAAAACACCAGGAAACGAGCCACTCCAGAAAAAAAAAAATATATTAATAAAATAGGCCGATAAATTATGAGTAAGCCAGGTCAAAGAGAAGTTATTTTTTTTTAAGAGCAAGAGAAGGTGATTCTCGTGTACAGGTATGTCATTCCATAATTTTTGACTTTGCAATGAGGTAACGAACAGATTTGACGAACTTGTTATTGACCTCAGAGACCGTGTGCAGGTACTTGATCGGAGATGTAATTTTTAGTGCTTTGTATGTAAATCATGATTGTTAATGAGTTGATAGATCGGCAGCCCGTGGAGCTACTGTATGTTCAAAGCGTGGAGTTCCGGACACCAAGCATACTGCTCTATTCAACGGTAGTTGTACTTTTCGCAACTGGTTATGTAGTAGACCATGATGCCATTGCAATAGGCGTAACGTGATGAGAGCTTGTACAATTTTCTTTGCATCCCTATATCATCCATATATGTGGATGGTTTAACGTTGCGCATGTAGTAAGAAATTGACTGACTTATGCGATTGATTTGACAGACATTTTAGAGTAAAAATCGGCACCAATGTTGAGAACATCGTTGGACGACACAATTGACATTTCATCATTGAAACAGAGAAAGTTGTTTTATAGCTAAACTTGCACATCATTAGGACAGGTCTCTATAGATGACTTAGCTTCATCATATTCTATAGCTGGATGTCATCGGCATAAACATGACAATTCAAACAAATTTGACGTATGATGTTGCCTAAAAGGAGATATACTAGGAACAACAATGTACCAAGTATTGATCCCCGTATTACACCACACGTTAAATCCGCATAGCTTGACTTGAAAAAAAACAAAAAACAAATGATACTCTTTAACAGAAAAAAAAAGTAATAATTAATTTGACATGTCATTTTTAAGCGGATGAATGTGGATATTTACTGGATGATCTTGATTCGATGACAAGGCAGTGCGGCGACGTGTACAGATATCGTCATCAGTATTCTAATGGACAATACACGTTTAGAGTCTGCCGACTCATCCTTGATCTTCCGGAATATTGTACAACTATAATATCTCAGGTAAATAATTATAGACCAATAAAATATAACCATTTTAGTTAAGCCTATGATATGTTTCTGGTCGCCCCATCCTTGAGTGGTCTCCTACAATTAGTTCGCATATTATATGTGAGGAAGATGCTCACATGACATTATTTATAATGCTAAAACGTCAAAATGTATGTGTATCTGTCCCAAGATTAAAAAGTTGATGGGGGAGTCAATCGTAACTTTAATCAATAAAAACCTTGAGTATGTGAAAGAATTTACACATATGGTTATATTGTATCTGATGATTTTTAAAAGACAATGCTGTTTTAATGCGTGATAGATCTCTATGTGTCAGTGGTTCACCAAGAGTGTGTTATTTAATAGTTTTTGAACATGCACAGCGCCTTTGAATTTTACTTCGGTGTTTAGTGATATTGGCGCTTTATAAATTATTATTATTATTTACTATTATAAATATGTATTGTTCAAACTTGTGGTCAGTCAATCAAAAATGCAATGTATGAAAGTATGTTATAACAACTGTCTTAGGATGCTTCTAAAGAAACCTAAGTTTTGCAGTGCTAATGCTTTGTCACTACTGGCTTACAGTCATTTGGTGAATACTGTATATTATGAGAAAATCAATTTTTAACTGTCTAACAAGAATTGCATAAATGTATTGGATTGGATTGGATTTATTCGGTGTAAACACCAAGGATAGCCAACGAAAGTCTAGAAGAAAACTTGTTTCCAGTGGGGTCCTTCTGGTGGTAATTGGGCAGTACACCGGGAGACAATCCCCTACTCTTTTCCGAAGAGTGTACTGCGTTCTTTAACGTGCACATGGGCCATAAATGCACACGGGACTAACGGCTTACACATCTCATCCGAAAGACGGTGCGCTATTGTAACTTGTATTTCAACCCTCCAGCTGAAACACAAGGAGAGGCAGCGACAATTGAACCGGGGACCTAGAGATCTCCACGGTTCAGCGCACACACAGTGGTTACCACCAGATTAGCCGACTGAGCTAAGCTTTTCACTGTACATGTTTTAAAACATTCTTGAATATAGCTAACATGGTGTAAGGTGCTATTACTGTTATGAATGTCTATCTAGAACAGGTAGGACTAATACAGCAGGTCTTCTGAAGTTAATTTGGGTATTTGGGTATCACATACACATAGACCCAAGATATTGTCGTGAACTTGCACCGTGTGTGGGCCTTAACCTTACGGTTACCATATATATAATTGTCATTACATGCTGTCATTCTAATAATTATCTTATTTCATGCTATTCATTCCACTACGATCACTCCATTTCGTATTTCTAGTAAAGAGGGAGGCATAGTCCTTCCACGGGTTCATAGCCTCTTTTCTCAAGCCAATGGCTCCATTGGAACAACTGCTTAGTTTATTTATTTTATATATATATTTATACTAATTTCTGTAATATGGATATAATATCTGAAATAAAAGTTCATTGATTGATTAAATACTTATTTATTTATTTATTTACATATTTACATACTTATTTACTTACTAATTTACGTACTCTACTTATTTGCTTACTTGCTTACTTATTTACTTACATACTTACTTAAAATAATCATTAATTAAAATAATTCGATGCACATATAAATAAGCTGACTGATATTCGCACAACAGTACGCGAAGTCTATAAAGTCCTTGCTTCTATTCCTTCTCGCAAATCCCCTGGTCCTGACTCCATAACTCCTAATATGATTAAACTCTCCTCAGCATATATCTCCTTTATAGTTACACACATTTTTAACATGTCTTTAGCCACAGGTAAAATTCCAAATGATTGGAAGAAAGCTGTTGTGGTCCCTATTCACAAAGAAGGAGAACTTAATAACATCACTAATTACCGTCCCATATCTCTGACTCCTATTTTTCTGCAAGTTACTTGAAAAGATAGTTAGTTCACATCTCACTTCTTTCCTTGAATCAAATTATTTAACATCCAACGAACAACATGCATTACTAGAGGCATATCCTGTACTACACAACTTTGTACTTTAATCCATGACTGGACTAAATGTCTTGACATTTCCAACCCTCCTCGTATCGATGCAATTTTTCTTGATGGGGCAAAGGCATTTTACCGAGTAAACCATAAGCTTTTGCTTCTTAAATTGAATCGTGTTTGCATTCAGGGGCAGATTCTCTCCTGGTTAACCTCACTGCTGCTAGGTAGATCCCAGAAAGTCCAGTTTATGGGCACACACTCTGAATGAATGCCTGTATAATCTGGAGTCCCTCAAGGATCTGTCCTCGGGCCTATTCTCTTTAATCTTTTTGTTGCCGATCTGCCTTCATGCGTACTTTCATCCCTGCCCCAGTATGCTGATAATACTGTTATTTTTCGTCCTATCCGCAATGCAGAAGACTCCCACATCCTTCAATCTGATTTAAATAATATCTCAACTTGGAGCACTAATAACTATATGCAATTAAACTCTAACAAATGTAAGTCATGCACATCACTAGATGAAATAAAAATTTTGCTACAAATTACTACATCAATGATTCCGCTCTTGATTCTGTTCTTTTCCATAAACATATTGGTATTTTTTTAACTTGTAATTTAAGTTGGGGTAAACAAGTTGATTATGCTACTTCTCGTGCTGCAAATATACTTGGGTTTATCACCAGATTAGTTGGGAGGACACAGGGTAACGAGGCATACCGTAGTCTGTACTTAGCAATGTTCCGCCCTTTACTTGAATATGGCATACCAGCTTGGTTGCCATTTCAGGTAGGTTATATAAAATATATTGAAAGGGTTCAGCACAGATTTTCGAGAGCGTATTGCGGTGGTCCTTGGCACTCTCGTCCTCCTTACTCTGATAGACTCAAGCATCTCCATATCTCACCATTGAATGCTCGTTCCTTTATATTCATTTGAGCTTTATCGTTAATTTTTATTTGGATTTAATAATATTAAGTTACCTGATGTCCAAGTTAACTTTAGACATTCTACTTCATTAACATTTATAGAAAAATTTGCTCGCACCCATACCTTTAAATACTCCCCTTTTATTCATTTTAGTAGGCTCTTTAATTCTCTCCAGGACAATGTCAGATGCTCATTATTATTTTCAATTAATCATTTTAAATCACTTAGCCAAGAATATCTCGACAATTATGTCCACATTTACTGATTGGCTCATTATGCAAGTTCATATTTGTAGTTCTTACTGTTTTTAATGTCATCTTGGATTTTTATTTATATATGTGTGTGTATATATATATATATATATATATATATATATATATATATATATATAT